TACGCTGAGGCAAAGCCCCTGCTGACTAAGGTGGGCTTGCTTTTTATCCCCATCTCTCTTTCCACCCCGCAATCCCCGCTGTCACGCTCCAGCTCGCTCCGACAGGAAGCCCGGCCGTTCATCCAGCGCTAGGAGAGGATGCGGGATTGATTTCACAAGCTGGTGGACACACTGAGGACGTCACAGTTACATGTGGGCACATTTTATTCTCTGGATGCACTTGTGCATTGTTTCTGCTCAACAGCCAAAGCTTTATTGATTCAAAACCATTACCCTTCTCCCCCACCCCCGCCACACTTTATTTTTTTGCTATGTACCCCCTTTCCTACCCCTCAGCCACTCGTCCGCTTCCACTTCGAGTATTATCTCTGCTTGGAGTCTGTTTTCTCAGAAGAAGCCAACTGACAATTCATTCAAAATTTTTTTCTCCCAAGAACCATATAAATTACATGCAAAACATTGTACATAGAGATTAATATCAAAATGCAATACAGATCAGGTGCACTTTAAGCTGGACTCTAGGATATGGCAAACACACCAGGGTACATATTGCTTTGAAACCACCATTTTTTTTTTAATGTCATGCATACCACATAATATTCAGTCTTTTGTTTTATATTTTCCTGCTTTTATACAAAAATACCAGTGCTTATTATACTTAGTTACTGGAAAAGAAAAACTCAGATCTGCGTGCCCTCTTCAAAAGAAAGTTTTGTTGCGAGAGCATTGGATAAATATATATACACACACAAATGTTGGTTTAATACTGTATATATATATATTTATTTAAGGGGAGGAAATAAACTAAAGGCAGTTTTAGCCATGGGCTTTGCTGAATGAAAATTGTATTTTTGTTGAGCAGGAGGGTATCAGAGGCGGGGCAGCCAGACATCAGCCCGTCTCGGTGGCAGGGGACAGCCTTGGCAGAGAGAGGCTGGAGAGGAGCAGCCAGGGGCCAAGAAACACGCTGGCGTTGCCCCACGGCCTCGCTGGTGGGGGCAGGACCGGGGGAGCAGTACCCCCACGTCGCAGTGCCCCGCCGCGGAGAGCTGGGGTTGCAGGAGAGCGTTTTACGGGTTGCGTGCTCCACGGGTTGGTGAACTTGTAGGAGCTGGACCCAGCGGTGAGGAGCGATGGCAGGCAGGTACACGCATCCTTCCCCCGAGAGGTACAAAAGCCTGCAGGGACTCTTCTTTGAGGTGCTTGGTCCCTGCAGTCACGGAGGGCAGCAGGAGTTGGCAATGGCATCTTGGAGACGCCCTCCCCGGATCTGGGATGGGGCTTTTCCATTCACCCCAACATCATGTCGCCCCGAGAAGCGTTTCTAAAGGGGCTAAGCACTACAGGACATCGACTCCTCGGCTGGGGAAAGCCAAAGGCTGCCCATGCTAAAATTTGGTTTAGTTTTTTTCCTTCTTGAGATTGTTTCAAAATTTTCCTCAAAGCTTATTGCACAAAACCTTTGAAAATTAAATATAACCCCTGTGGAAATCAAAGGAAACCTTATCACATAATGCAAATGCCTAAAAATGCCTGTTCAGCAATGCACACAGGACGTGGTGTAATGTCTTTGGTACCAGTCTGCCAATTTATTTAACAGAAAACCACCACCACCACCACCACCACCACCAGAGACCCTACTGTTATTAAGAACTGGATGCAAAATTATGTTCAGAGTGTTTTAATAACAAAGCATTCCAAGGCAAGTTAACACATATCACAGGGTATGACTTCGGTTCCTGTCTGGCATGGCACTCTCCCCCGTGCACACTCGTGGCAGTTCAAACAAAGCAAAAAAAAAATATATATATTTATCTCCCCCTCTTTCAAGGCATGTTGCAGAGAGTCCGCAGAAGTTCGTGCCGCCGACCATGCCTTTCAGCATAGAGCACCAATCTCCCCCAACTCTTTTGTAATGTCCTCAATAACTTAACCCAATAGTCATCTGCCGCCAGTATATCACTGAAACTAAATAGAAAAAAAATACTTTACAGAAAAGATGTACGCACAATAAACGTTTATACTTTAAGCAACCAGCCATACCAACATAATTTATATAAAAAAACATTTGTGTCATCCAACTAACGTCTAGTATAAAGATGGCTGCTCAGAGAAAAGGAAGCTGACTGGCATCCGATCGCTGATACACGGAATTAATTACCTGTCACTTGGAACTGCCGTCACACAGTCACACGCCGCTGCAGACGCAGGACTTGAGATTTTTTTTTTTTTCTTCTTTAAACAAAATACATATGGCTGACGTAAAAATATCAGTTTCTGATCTAAAGAAAACTATATTTTTTTGCATAATATTTATATATAATTATTTCTCCCCCTCCTAATATGGAAACTAGAACAACAAAAATACATCAACTGAAGAACAACCAGACCCTTGTGGCAACCTGCCAGTCACAGATTTCTGGGAGTGACTTTGAGAGCCTCCAAAGTTGGCTTTTTGTTGTTTTTTCTTGGTTTAAGTCTTTTCTTTTAAAACAGGTCTGAGGTAATAAAAAAATATCAAAAGAAAAAAGAAAAATCAGTGTATCCCCCCCAAGTATTTAATAAATATTTATGTAAGCTTGTAAGAACACCACATTTTCATCCTTCTCTTTTTTCGTAAGTATTTAAAATAGAAAAAGTGATCTTTTAAGCAACGTCGCCTTTAGTACAGAACCAAACCCCACGACCACCCCTTTTGTCGCCCCTGTCACCGCTCGTGGGTAACCCAAGAGCCCCCTGGTCCTGCCCAAGGTATTTTTTCAGCTCGCGTGAGGAGGGAACGGGGACGGCGGCGATGGGTTTGCCTGCGCGGGCAGGGAGCTTGACACTGAATTTGCAATTGAGATGGGCAGTGGTGGCAATTTCTTCTTGCTGTTGGCAGTGTACGGAGCCCAGCCTTCACCCCTTTTGCCAGCACCGAGGCAGGAGACCTGGGAGAAGGACCTTTCCTCAGCTACCTGGGGCAGGAATGGGGCGACCTCATCCTTCCCCCCTCCCGCCCCAAGGAAGGGACAAGTCGGTGCTGGGCTGGAAACAGAACAAAGACACTTGGTTTGTGTTGTCGTTTAAGGAACACTTATTTCTTGGCAAAGTACTGGGCCCTCGCGTGGCAGGCGGTGCTGCAGGCAGTGCTCGGAGAAGGCACGGGAGATTCTGCTGTGCGTTCTTAAAGGAAAGAAAAGAAGAAACCAGCCAGCCCACCCTCTCGCTAAAACCTCTCTGCTTCCAGGGACGGAGGCTGGGCAAAGACGATGACGTTGTACAGCCAGTTACAACCAGGTTCTCTCTGCTTCCAACCGAGCCAAAGAGGACAAAGAAGAGAAGGCAGCAGAGCTCCCTCCAAGCCCTGCCTGCCTGGGGCCAGTAACCAGGGGTGCACCAGCAAGAGCCCATGGGGAAGGAACTAAGCCCAAGCAAAGCAAACTCCTGCCTCCTGCTCAGTCCCGTGGCTTCACAAGAGGGTCAGTTCAGAGCCAACTTGCCCAGGACACCTGGGGGCTCTGCTCCAAAAAACCAGGACTCTCACCAAATGGTTACAAGAGACCGAGGTGAGGCAGGACACACAGGGTGAAGAGGCGACCTTCAAAAAAGCAGCAAGTGAGGCAAAGCCTCCATGCAGCACCTCCTCTGGAAGACCTGCAGCCAACCAACCAACCTGCCGCCTCTGCGAGGAATTGCCTCCACTGGCAAATCGGCTACAGAAGTCCTATGGAAATCAAGGGTCCTCCCATCGGCCGTGGAGCCTCCCTCCCTTCCACCGGCTAAAGAGACAACCTGACCCATCCCCTCCGTGATCTAGGAGTTGACCCACTGTACTGTCAATAACCCGATGCTTGTCCTCCGTTCAGCCTGCTAACGCTTTGGCAGCGATGCGCAGAGCTGGTGGGCACGGCTGGAGCATCCTCTGGGGTTCCTCAGCAGTTAACCGGAGCTCGTACTCCAAGGCTGAAGGATTATCTCACCCAACAGTACAGAGAAGCCAGAACGGGCACAAGTCCCTCTGCTCTTGACGGCAGGAGCCGTTAAACCTTTGCAAGGCTCTCGCCAAAAGTTTCACAGCTGTTCAAGAGCAGAAGAGAGGCATCTCTTAAGCCTCCCCACGAAGGAGCCCTATTCCTCACAACCATGGGGTTTTTCTTCACCACCCTTCCACTGCCAGTTCACCTCCACCTTGCTTTGTAGAAAAATCATAATCTTTTACATCCAGCAAGGTTACAGCCAAGTCACCTTCGTTCCTTGTCTACCAATTACTGCTTTGGAAACAGAGAGAGAGAAAAGTGTGCGTGCACACACAGAGGAGGAACTGTAAGGGCTAGGTACCATTTTTCAAGGTGGAAGACTGGTGTACATCCCTGTATCTATCAGCCTGTGAGTAAACACCTTCCCCCTGGCTGGGTTTTTTTGTTTATTTTTAAATTTTCACACTAGAGTGCTAACTCCCCCACTTCCCACTGTGAAGTTACTGGGGGCAAATCCCACAAGCAAAGAAAAAAACCCCAACATCAGAAGAAAACCCTAAAAACCACAAGTGGAAAAAAATAAAGTCACAAGTGCACCCCAGCCCTCAGGCTGCGAGCGTGCATGTAAGACTACAACAATTTGAACTTTCTTTGAACATGCATTTTTCAAAGTGAAAACCCCCTACAGACACATGGAGCCCGACTCTCCGAGAGGAAATAACCTGGCTGCTTCACTTGGGCGAGTACCACGGAAAATTAGGGATGGAGATGCACAGTTTTGGCTTAGCCTCTCTCCCAACACCCAGCATCGTGGTACTCTGGTTCCCACTGCTAAATAATGGTAAAAAAAAAACAAAAAAACAAAAACAAAAACAAAAACCAAAACCAGAAACAAAAACCCCCAAAAATAAAACACCAAAATGATATACGTATGAGCAGTTTGACACGAAGTGACCGCAGTGTGTGATCAGTTACTGGTGCCAACATCACACAGGGCGAGGGGCGAAGGTGGAGGAGGAGGGGGGCTTCGAAGTTCTAACGTCAAACCGATGTCTCCAAGCTGTGTAAGGGGCTTTCAGGCTCCGGGACGGTGACCTCAGCTTGATCGCTGTCCACTGCATTGTTATTTCTGTTGAGGGATGTAGATCCACCCAGGCTACCCCCACCTCGCTTTTTGAGTCCGTCAGTCTCGGGGTCTTCTTCAGCGCCGTCAAGGAATGGTGTTCGAGGCTCATCTTCCTCCAGGATGAACTCTGGGTGAGTCATGAAGTTATGGATGGAGCTTCTGGATTCAGGTTTCTCGAGGCCTTCGTACAAGGAGCTACGGAACGCATTCACCACTTTGATCTGCCGGGAGGCGAGGAGCGTGGGGAATAAACAAAAGAAGGGTTAGTAGTGGCTACGAGAGGCCAGAGCTCCCAGGAGAAAGCAAAAATAAATAATAGAGACACAATAAAACAAAAAGCACGACAACAACAGTCACCACCACTGAACAGACAGCTAAGTCAAAATGAGAGATCTATGGTGAACTAGGAGGGCCAACATGGATCAGACTCAGGCACTAGGTGTGTGATGGGGAATCAACCGACTATGGGGCGACTTCAGAAGCTGCAAGAAAAGACACAAAAAAACTCAAAAAAACAGATCACTTTGAATGAATGAAAGCCAAAATGCATTAGTTGTCATTATGTGTGCGCACGCGTATCTGTGTGTATAAACGAGGACAAAAAAGTGGAACTACAACTCAAAAAAGAGGTGGGTTAGACAAACAGTGGGTTCACTTCAAGGCAAAAAACTCTACTGTGGGAGCGATGTGTGTGTTTGTTCTATTTCATTTTTAGACCTATAGAAAGGAACGGGCTTTAAAAAGGCGTCACAAACTTTTCAAGCCCATGTGAAGCAGTAGGTCCAAGTGGGTGCCATGACCAGTAAAACCAGACCCAGCTAAACATGCAAGAAGGAAGCCCGATCTGTGCAAGTTTCCCCACACAGCTGCCATCTGGGTCCTGGACTGGAGCCGTGGATCCTTCCCTA